ACATAATAGTTATTGTCAACTAAAGGGCTGCAAATCTGAGTCGGTCAAGTGATAAGGTAGTCGAGTCTTGAACTTATTTATTTTATACCTAAAATAACATGTAATGCTCCCATAATAGCAGATCAAACATGTAATTATACAATTAATACCTTCTGCCTATAAATAGAAGAGTCATTGCTATAGTAAAAGGGTTAATTGGTCCGTTGTAAAATAAATAGTTCTTTGTTGTGCACTCTCTGTGTAACTCTCTTTATCTTCCTTTCTCTCTATCTCTCTTCTGTTTAATGTTGTATTCATTAGGTGTGATTCAATCATGAATTTGTCCTTTCATGAAAAATATGGATCTCTAAAACAATTAGTTGAGATAACTAATTGGTTTCCTAAAGAATCACATTGAAAAACATCATAACTAATAGGTTCAAAGAAAAAAAAAACACTATATGGAACCCATCAATACATATATAAGAAATGAAGGAATAAGAAAATCCGTGAATAAAAAGTTTATATGAAAAATTAAAAGAAACGAAAAATCATTTCCTGAAATATGAATTCATGATACTCATAAAGAGTTGCATCACTCTTTTCCATTTCTTAGACTTATATATGATAACAAAGTAAATTTTCTCCTTAGTAATATTAATAGGAGTAATGGTACCCAAGTAAATATTACTATTCTTTCCGAGCCATAAATAATGATCAAGAAACCCTACAAGAGCCCCATTTCTTCCATCCAACACCTAGACATGCAATCAATTTTCCTTTTATAGACCTTTATGCATTCAAGTTCTGCATGAAATTCTTTTACAGAAATATTAAATTATTTTGTCAATAAAATCTAAAAAAAAAAAAAATCATGTGGTCTAATTTTATTGAAATAATATGTTATATATAAGAGATTATTAAAATATAATCTTCTCATAATTATAAATTATAGGATTGAGAATATATTTATTCTTTTGTAAGTACAAAAGAAATAGTGCAATATGATGTGATTACATAATGACTATAATGATATAGTGACAATGAGACCATAATTGAGAAATAATAATAATGTGATAGTAGTTGGGAGACAAAAATTGCGCTATGGTGATCTAGAGTAGCAGTTGATCAACGATGGTGATTGAGAGTATGGCTATTTTTTTTTTTTTTTTTTTTTTTTTTTTTTTTGGACAAAACTCTTAAGCTGTTAGATTTTTATGATCTCTCTATTTTCAAACCGAAGCCACATGTGAAGAATGAGGCTTTATTTAAAATATTGAAAGTTGTTTTTTAATTACTCTGACTAATGTTCTAAAACACATTATCTAACACTCGTGTTATTTCCTTTCGTCATAAATCACTCATTAAATCCTTTAGTTATTTGATAATCTCAGACTTGAGTCATCTTAAACTTGTTATATTATTCTAAACACAATGCTTGATTTAACTATGAACTTGTTAAAATAAAATATCATTTGGTCATTCAGTTAATTTTTTTCAAAATTCTAATCGCACTTAAAATATTTTTCTTAAATACAAAGCTTTGAAATCCAATTATTGCTTAGTTTAAAAAAAATCAAATTTTAAGAGGAAAAGACTTGTCAGATTACCTCTTCAAAATATTATGAGATGTTAATGGATGTAAAAAGTAAATATAGAAATAAGAAGTTATGGAAAAGGGTGCCTAAATTTAATAATTTAATGGGTTTGTAAATGGCTTAAAATACAACAAATAAGAACTACTACAATGCACCATATTTAATAACTAAGGGACATTTAAATACACACCACAAAATACCCATATATTTACAAATCTACCACCTAAAATTTCAAATTCACGCACAAACACTCAAAAATTTGACATCATTTAAAAAACATCATTGTTTCTGACATTTTAAAAGTATAATATACATTTTCATACACAAAATTTTGAATAATAAAGTGTTATAAATGTAAATATCAAACTTTTGGTGATAGGTATGTAAATGCATAAGCATTGTGTGGCATGTATATAAAATTTTCTAAATAAAATAATATTCATAACAGATCATTCATTTGGCTCTGTTTAAGCTCTTCAAGTGCATGTTATTAAGACTTCCCGAAAGAAAAACATTGATAATGCCATTTGAGGTGTAGAAGAGGTGGATTTGAGAGGGCTCAAGTTTTACTTAGCTCGATTAAATCATATAAATTTTTTATTTGTGTTTGACCCATATTTTTCATTTTTATCAAATTCATAATGGTTTGATCGTGGCACACGTAAATGCATCGGTTTGATAGTTCGAAAGTTCACAAAGGTACTTGATTTATAAATAACAGTGATTCTTATGTCATGTATGTAATTATCCCTATAATTAAAACATAACTAAACTTATAGAAATTAATCATATTTAAATTAATTATTAATAATGATTAATAATGAGCCTTTTAATACAAAATATGATTTTAACTAATATAACAAAAATTAGTGCTCGAATGTGTAACACATTGGTTAAAAATAAAAGAAATAATCATTTATTTTTTTATTTTAGGCATTTTTCAGAGGTCTGCGATGACAGTTTAACGAAGCCCAATAACAAAGTTTAATATTTCTAATTAATTCACATTAACATTAAATATTTGTTACTCTATTATTGCTTTTTTTAGAGATTTGATGTCCAATCAAATGATTATATATATACATACAATGCTCATTTCAATTGCTCGATCTAAACTATAGAAAAAAAATATATAGAAATGAAATATTACAAAAATCTTAACTTTAAAGAGCGGATATTTTTCTCTTAAATATGCACTAATGATAATTGCATACGAAGCATCTAGGATTATATTACTAAGATTATTAACATAATTATTGTAATTATTATTATTGTTTGCTTGAAAACATATGGGAATGGAGTGAATTTTCCATATGTTAATATTGCATAAAAATTCATACTCAGATGAATAAAACACTGAAAGCAACAAGAGTTTTTATATAAACAATTTTTTGAATAACTAAAATAAATCACTATATACGTGAAATTTAAAGAACCCATTTTTTCTCGCTAATTATAGAATGCGGGATTAGAATGTCTAGAATTTTGGCTTCATAATGTCTCATTTTCATACTTGGCCTCATGCTAAATGTCTACAATAAGAAAGAATAAGTGGTCATAAACATTAGTGTTAATTCCTGAGAGAAAAAATAGACATAGCGGCAGTTTTGATCAAAGTCTTTATTAAACGAATTTACCAATTCTTCAAAAGAAATTTGAAACTTAATTTGGGTGAGTAGGATTAAACCTTGACTCACTACATCAAGTGAATTCGTGACAATCTCAATAGATTCGTGATAATCCTGACATGCTCATTTCTCTTGTTTCGACTCCCCCGAGTCATCCTTTAAACACAAAAATTTATAAAATGATTAATACTGTATAAATTGCATTAATTATAATTGCAATATATATATATATATATA